ACTAGGCAAATGAAGGGATCTGTCTGACACACAACGGCTCTGCTTTGGTGCAATTATTTTGTATTATTTAAATAATTTTGTATTTAATCATGTGAAATGCTTTCTGCCCCATAGGAGCGCTTCAGGCCCAAGTTTGAATCCTGGCATGACTAGAAGTGTCCGAACTGGGTGGCTGCTGGAATATGGGGACAGAGGGTGGGGAGCATGAAGGCCCCTCTGACAGGGCCACATGAAGGACGGTGCGACCAGCCTCTGGCCAATGTGGCTGGGCACCCAGCTCTGCACACTCACTGCAGAGGGGGTGGCTTCTCTCTTGGAGCCTCAGTTTCCCCATGTGCACAGCAAGGGGGGGAGCCGTCCAAGCTACTTGACCTCTTTCAGATCACAAACCCCAGGTGACAATTTAATGACAGAACAAACTAGAAAAATGCAGAGACACTCAGGGGGATCACAGACCCCACCAGGACCCCCTAGACTCCGGGGGTAGCTGTTGTTTAGGCTCCTGGGCTCTCGGGATAGAGAGACACAGGTTTGGATCCTGGCTCCCCCACCTATTAGCCGTGAGACCGTGTTATAGGGCTCTCCCCTCTCAGCTTCAGTCTTCTTCACAGTAAAGGAGGTAATTACACTGATCTCACGCGCTGCCTCAAGCACCAACCCAGGTCAGTGCAGGAACCGCTCTCGCAGGCCGCACCGGTGAGCATCCATAAAGGGGGCTTCCAAGGTTTAAGGAAATCGCTGCCCTCGTGTGGCCCATGGACCCCCTGGATCAGAATCACATTCTGCAAGTCCAGGTGGACTTAGTTTGAGAAGCACGACACCTTTCCAGCCTCTACGGGCCAGTTCTGCAAAGGGGCCCACGACTGTCTGGCCGGCTGGCTGGGAAGAGCAGAAAGCAGGTGCAGCGGAGGGGCCAGGGACGCTAGCCTCCCCCCCGCCCCCCACCCCCCCTACACACACACCACCACCACCACCCCTGGGCACGGTAGAGCCCTGGCTGTCCCACGCCTTGCCCCCAACGGGCCTTGGCGTCCCTGGCCCCTCCAGCTGACCTGTGCAGGAGGCCCCACGCCCTCTGGGCCAGGCTATACGGGGAGGGACCAAAGCAAAGGGCCTCCGGGGAAAAGGGACAGAAAGGAAAGTGAAACCTGCCCGGCCAGACTTTCGCTTTCGCTGCCTCCACGCACCACCCAGGTGGCCCCGCTGTCGCCCGAGCTGGGGGCCCTGTCGCTGCCGGCCCAGAGCTGCCCCCCAGCCCTGCATCCCCGATGGCCGGCGACCCCTGGCGGAGGGAAGAAGGGAAGGTCCCCGACGGCGACAACGGCGGACGACCCACGGCGGGGGCCGGGGGTCCCCTGCGGCTCCGTGACTGGCTGGTGTTGCAGGTCGAGAGCGGGAGCTACCCGGGGGTGCGCTGGGAGGACGAGGGCAAGACCCTCTTCCGCATCCCCTGGAAGCACGCGGCCAAGCAGGGTTACCAGGCGCAGCAGGACGCGGCGCTCTTCAGGGTAAGGGGCAGGGGCTGGCCGGGAGGGCTGTGGACGAGCACAGGCCCCAACCCCAACGCGGAGACCACAGGCGACGACGCGCTGGGTGACCTGGGCCGCTGGCCTGGCCCTCAGCCTCCATCGTCTCTAGTGTTCTCCACGGATGGAGACCCTCAGACTCCCTCTTAAAACAGCAGCCCCGTGGCTGCATGACCCGCACTGACCCAACCCTACGTCTCACAGAGGCCTCTCCTCCCTCTC